AGCGAATCTCATCCTTGTTCTTTTGCCCATAGGACTTCGGAGAGGACGATTCCCTATACATCACCAAGGTGACCACAATCCACATGGGCAACTACACCTGCATCTCCATGGGCCATGAGCAGCTGTTCCAGACCCACGTCCTGCAGGTGAATGGTTAGTAAATGGCTCCGTGCATGTTGTCCCCTCAAAGCACCCTCCACACTGCTCCGAGCAAACCTTATTCTCTCTTGCATTTTGTCTTGCTAAAGACATAAATAGCCCATCTGCTGTAATAAAGGGAATGGCTTAGAAAGTGCTAGGTCTGGTTTACCCAAGGCTTCCACAGATAAAATGAATCCAAATGCTGGGGTAGGGGGCTTGGGGATGAGTCATGCAGGCAAGTCACCCTGGGCTGCTGAGGCTCCATTGGCTACTGTGAAGTATGGGGCAGGCGTGGCCCACAGGGAACGTGATACCTTGATCTCTGGATCTAGCAATTTCAGAACCTGAGTCCAAGTCACCATTGCTCTTACAGGTGACTTAACAGCACATCGCTGTGCATCTAGGGGGCACTGTTCCTTTCAGCAGCCCTTCCCCACAGGGATCCATGAGCCTTCTCTCAGCCAGTGAGGATGGGCATGTTTGAAGGGATTGTCTTCACTCACTCAGGTCCATATGTTACCAAGTATCTTGAAGACCAGGAAAAACTGATCCCCTTTGACCACCCTCATCCCCCACCCAGCAGTTTTTCAAGCCAGTGTCTATGAGCACATTGGTAGCCAGCCTTGGAAAAGCACTTTGTATAGACTCTCAATTGGAATGTTATTACCTACTTTATGAGTGGCTTTTAAGGAAGATCACTTACTCTCTAGGGCCATTTTGGAGTTAGCCTACCTCTATATCATACTGCTTCCCATCTCAGCCTGGCTCCATCCACCATCAAAACAAGCCCCAATCTCCCTGAAGTCCTGTCCTGGACCATCATGTCAAGGGAATTAGCCTCATCCCACCAAGCCCAGCTGTATTTGATCAGGCCTGGACCAGGCACTCGGGTATCAGGGAATAGTGAGGCGACTCAGCTCCCAGATCCTCTGTGACAGCTGGTGATTGGGACTTCTCCCAAAGAGAGAGAGTGAGCTGTTAAGAATGATGACATAATAGATTAACCTTCACTGACCTCAAGGATCCAGGGTGAATGGCAAGCCATTTAGAGATAACTGGGTATCTTCAGCTTGCCCTGTGTTTACCTTGACAGAGTGTCCGTGGCACTTTCATATATGTCCATGTCCAAGTAGTATCTTAGTAGAATTTCCCTCAAGCTGGGATGTACCTTTGGGATTTCATATCTGTGTATCTAGATTAAATATCTGGGATTCTAGCTGGCAATTTAACTCAATTGAAAGAGTGTTTACCTAGCATGTACAAAGCCCTGGGTTTGGTCTCCAGAACCCCACAAACTGTGAAGGTAGCATTCAGGAGGTAGAGATAAGAGGATCAGGTGTTCAAGGGTATCCTTGACTAATGAGTCTGGAGCCAGCCTGGGCTACATGAGACTGCCTATTTTTTAAAAAATCTATCTGGGTTTCACCATCATAACCCAAGTGTTCCTAGTTATTATATCCCAACAGGAACCAACCCAGAGATTTGGGGGTCATTTAGGGACTGCACTTCTGTGCAGCAAGCAGGTAATAAGGGACACTCCTAGCGGGGACTGGCCCTGGTAGAACATGTGCTCTGCAGAGAATGTCACCATTTGACTCTGACAAGTGATGTCTAGAGGCTGATGATTTGTGGAATGTTCAGTTGCAAAACAGCTCTACTTTCTGTTCCAGCTCCTCAGATCCTCAGGCAGGCTACAGATGTACAGTTATCTGGTATCCCAAAGCCTCCTATCCAGACTCACTTGACAAGAGCCCAAGGCACAGGGCTGGAGACTTGGCTCAGTAGTTAAGAGTGCTCCCTGCTCTTCCAGGGGATATAAATTCAATTCTCAGCATTCATACCCAATGGCTCACAACCAACTATAGCGCCAGAGGATCTAGTGCCCTCTTCTGGCCTCCACAGCTACCTACACTCACATTCACATATCCACACACAGATGGACACACACATAAATAAAACTAAATCTTAAAATTTAAAGAGCCTAAAGCACAAGGAGAGAGCCAGGGCTTCTTGTGCCCTTTGTCTCTCTAAGACAAACATGAAGATGGTGGGACTCCAGCTTGAGAACCTTCTAGATGTCTCCACCACTGGAGGAGGCTCTAAATCTCCAGTTCCTTCATAAACGATGTAGCAGGCCCCCATGCTTAGACCTTCTGGCCCTGGGGACCTGAGAAGCTAAGCATGGGTTTATGGTGAGAATGGATTCAAGAGCAAGGTCCCAGAACCATGGGCATTTCTGGGCTTAGACTGCTTCTAAAGATGGGAAACAGACTGCTCACCTGGTGTCTTAGATACCTCTCTCATTACTGCAGCCCACTACCTGATGAAAAAGTGACTCCAGGGATGAAGGCTAGATTTGGGCTCAGGGTTTGAGGGTACAGTATCCATCACGGAGGAAAAGGTGTGGCACTGGGAATGTGAGGCTGCCAATCACAGTCAGAAAACAGAAAGATGAATGGTGGTGCTTATCTCACCTTCTCCTCTGTACTCAGCCTGGGACCCAAACCATAGCATGATTCTAGGCACAGTTAGGATGGGTCTCCCCACTTCAGGTTTTCTCTCTAATAACACCCTTACCAGTATGTCAAGATGTGTCTAGTCAAGCTGGCAATGAAAATGAACTGTTACACCTGGCCTGGAGAGCTTCTGAGGGATAGGTTCATTGATCCATGCTCTAACTGTTGAAAGATTCAAGACTTCTCTCCTAGCCAAAGGAAGGACCACTGATAGTACAGGGAGAGATGCTAGGAGCTGGATACCTTGTGATCAGCTTCCTACTTCATTGTGTGGCCTGCTGGATGGCTGGTCCTGTATGGTACTATATAAAGCTCCTGGCATTCATGAAGACACTCAGCACCCTCATGTGATCACCTCTAAAGTAGACCCTGGTTGTCTCTCTGTGATACAAGTTAATGGCATGCTGACCCCCTAAAAAAGGCAGGAAGTTTTCAAAGTACTTCAGGGGTTAAAGTTCTGTCCGACTTAGAAGGAACCAAGTTGTATCTATGTGGAAAGACATAGGATGTTTTGAGATCCATAATTACAGCAGTAACATTTACTGAATACCTACTTATGCCATCCCTATCTTATAGACAAGGTCACTGGAACTTTGATAACTGGGGTGACTTGCTCTTAAAGCACACATACATACACACACACAGAGAGAGAGAGAGAGAGAGAGAGAGAGAGAGAGAGAGAGAGACCTTGACAACACTGAGGGCCAATGCCTACCAGTTGGGATGCCATGCTGCTGCCCTTAGAGAATTTGTATATGGGGTATAGAGTAGGTAGTTGTCAGGTCTTTGCTGTGGTTCTCTAGATGGCACAATCTGGGGAAACAGAGGACAGGAGCCCTGCATCCTATGTCTCCAAGCCTAGTGCACAGCTCAGACCAGGTCAGAACCAGCCATTGAAAGAGAGGAAAAAGCAATGCATGGAAGTCTCAGACCTAGGAAGTTGATAGAACACTTAGCCAGGTGTCACCCAGTTCCCTGGAGGGCTCATTAAGTTCTATGATCAGTGATTCCTGATGTTGCATGGTTTCCAGGAAGGAGGACTGGGTCACTGTAGGAATCTTGCAGAAGAAGGGGATAAAGATCTTTGTGGGCTATGGCTTGGTGCTGAAGGAGAAGCCCCTGTGCAGGAGACTAGAAGACTAGGAAGACCCTGGTAGTTCTCAGAGGACTGTTTGACTCATTAAAGAGTGTCATGAGGAAGGAGGGGGACGTGTGTAGTAACACTGACCTATTCTTTTCACCATCCACCCCACACTTGATGGTATGCAAGATGGCCCTGAGCAGCTTGGGTGGAGTTTTGCTCATCTGCCTAGCTGTGCCGTTGGAGGTCTAGTTTGCTGCCTTCCTGGCCTGGCAGGAAGATGTTTAGGAAATACAGGGATACAGGAGTGGCAGACTTGGGGGAGGTTCTGTGTTTATCTTAAGCCATGGTTAGTCATAGTTGGTAGATGATGATCAAAGCTGGTGGCCACTTTCAGGGCCTCCAGCACATTACACAGATGGGAAAATAGAGGCCCAAGAAAAAAATGACCATCCAAAATATAGGTTGCTTCTCCCTAGAGCCATGTTGCTCCCAAGCTGTCTGGTAGCAGAGTTGGGATCCCATACACAGACTGGGCTAACACCATCTTCTGGGAACCCCCACTTCCATGGCTGCTAACCTAGCTGCTTGAAAGAACCCTCCCAGGAAGCTACACTATCCCCACAAATTATTAGTATAACTTACCCATAGCCCAGGCTTCCAGAGATGAGGCCCAAATGCTGACATGATTTATAACTTCCTGCAAAGCTCCTGCATTGCTTTCATGGGCAGGATCGAGAACTTCAGACATCAATGATTAATCCCTTAAATTAAAAATACCTTCGACCTCCCCGCAGTTCAGACAAGGAGTGATTCATCCCCAAAACACAATAATCATCTTCAAATCTGCTTATTACTCCAGCTTGGTACTTTTGTGACTTCTTACTTAAGCACATGTTTATGCTGCCTAAACCTTGGCAATGAGAGATGATTCCCAGAGAAAAAGGGCCTCTGTGTTATGGATACAAATGGAGTGTGGGTGGACACATGGGTGTGGGTGTGGGTGCACCTGCATGGGGAGGCCAGAGGTGAACTTCAGGGTCATTCTTGAGAGGCCACCCACCTTATTATTTTTGAGACAGTCTCTCACTGGCCTGGAGCTCACCAAGTCGGCTAGGTTAGGTGGGCTGGCCAGAGAACCCCAGGGACTGCCTACCTTTCTCTTCCTCCTGGTTTATGGGGATTATACCACACCCAGTCTTTTTATGTGGGTTCTATGAATGGAACTCAGATCTTCATGTTCTCAAGGCAAGTTCTCTACCAACTGAGCTGTCTCCGTACCCCCTTATGGAATCATATGAAGGTTTTTGCAAATTTAAAAGAAAATATGTTTGTCTATGATAGCTTAGTTTCATATTCTTTTCAATGTGCAAAAGATGGGGCCTGAGATCTTGGGAGCCATGTGGTCTGGGACA